TGTATTGGCACGGTTGTCACCAAAAATGGCGCACATCTACAGACTCTGCTTAAAACAGATTAGATGGTGCAGATCCATGAATTTAACCTACAAGTAATAGAAAGCAGGCCCAGCAAATGTATATCCGCTGAATAACTAGGTCTAGTCTCTGTACACTTAAGCTTGCCTTGGTATCATGAACTGAGCTCTGATGGTACTTTGCCCGAAGATATAGTTTCCATCAGTTTCATGTTTCCCAGGAAGTTTTGATTTCCAGCCTCACCTTCAGTCTCAAATTTCCTGAGAAACTGAAATGGTCTCCCTTTCTTTGGTTTCTCATTTTAATTTGGCTCTGTCTCAAAAATTAAAAGCTTTGAGGCCACAGCTTTTATCGCAATTCCAAGAACTAAAACTGTAAGTTAATTTGCATTTCAAAATCCTGCAGCCCTGATCATATTTTGTGTATTACACTAAATAATATTCCTACTGTTCTGCTCCCTGACTCAGATAATCAATGCCATAGGAAATTTATCAATATTCACACTGGAAGTTTCACAAATATGCATACTTCCTCTATCACATTTACATCCTGTAACTTTTCTACTGCTTTTTCCATAAAAATTTTTGCCTATCTTGCTAGTTGCATCATGTCCACTTAAAATGATGACAAAAAGCGCTTCAATTTATGCACCTCTGATCAAGTCCACTAATCTTATCACCAGGTATTTACAGTGCTACATATTTGCTGGGTGAGATCTTGACAATTATAGCTCCAAAACAGGTAGCACTGTTGCCCTCAGCAGAATCGGACTTAAAGCAAACGAAAATAATGCTCTTGCTGCCACCTTTTACATATTTCTCCAGTGAACAACTTAATCTGTGAGGGGATAACAAAGTGTGGAGCTGGAGGAACACAGCAGGCCAGGCAGCATCAGAGGAACAGGCAAGCTGATGTTTCGGGTCGGGACCCTTCTTCTGTTCCTCTGATGCTGCCTGGCCTGCTGTGTTCCTCCAACTCCACGCTTTGTTATCTCTGACTCCAGCATCTGCAGTTCTTGCTATCGCAGAGATTTTTAATCTGTGAAGATATAACTTTGGTGGGAGTATTGTGAATACAGAAACTATTTACATTCTGAGTCACATATGACCCCTGTTCAGAACTCCACTCCAGTTTTGAGGAATAATCATATTTGAATTAAAACATAACCTCTGAGCTGAATCCTGCATTATTTTGGCTGCGTATTTTTCATAGAGTTTAGAGAAGGGCTCTCTCGATAAGGCCTGGTGAGCTTTTTCTCATACTAAATCACAAACTCACCTCATTAACTACCGATCATGCCCCGATAGCAACTTCTCATCTGATGCTAGCTAGTTTCTACTACTTACTGTAGGTGGAGGAACTCACTGCTAAAGAATATCATTCAGTATATTGGTATCCCTGTTGCCAGCACCACCTTTAAAAGGCCATTGGGCACAATGACATGCACTGGCAGTCCTTGTCCCAGATTTGACAGTTTCTCTCCTAGAAGTCAAACACTTGAAATTCTCTCTCCCGTTCTCGCACCAACTACGCCATTCAAATGTTCCAAGTTTCTACTGCTACCAAATCATGGACACTTTCATACCTTTGCACAAAAGTAAATCAAACACTCCCTCACCTTCATCATGTTACTACATCTTCCCTAGTCTTCCAAACCCTTGCATTACTCCTGAATGATCCCATTCTATTTGAAGTAAACTTAATTAGAAATCGCAGTTAATAAACGCAAATAACTGCAGATGCTGTAAATGTGGAACAAAAACAGTGAACTGTATGAAGAGTTATCGGATTCAAAAAGTTAGCATCTGTTGCAAGCAAAACAAAGTTGTCAGATCCACTGTTTCTCGAGTGCTCTCTATTTTTGTTTTAGAAATTCCAGTTACTTGTTGAAGGAATAAGGACACAAGATCCCACAGTTTGCAATAGAAGACCTTTTGACTATACAAGAGTCAAAAAAGCAAAGGGAATGCAGTGGTACTGGTAAAATTCAAATGTTCTGAAGTCAAGGGATCAAATTCTACTATGGTAGGTGGTGAAATCTGAATTTAGTAAAAAAGAATTTTGGAATTAAAAGCTAACCAAATGGTGACTACATAACTGTTGCCGATTGTCATACAAACTCATCTGCTTCACTAATGTCCTTTAGGAAGGGAAATCTGCAATCCTTTCATCGTCTGGCCTACATATGACTCCACAACAATATGGTTGACTCTTAACTGACCCCTGAAATGGCCCTTGCAAGCCAATCAATTCAAAATGCATTTAGGGATGTGCAATAATTCTGATCCAGACTACAAAACCTATATCCCATGAACAAATAAAAAAGACACAATACTATATATCTTATACCTCAGCATCCAGAATTAACATGTTAACTATGAATTAAACGGACAACTATAACCTTTAAATTATGCCAGCTTTTCTCCTTCAGAGATTTAGCTGATTTTCATTCAACAAAACCTCCAACTCAGCACATAATCGTAGAATCCCTAGAGTGCAGAAACAGGCCACTTGGCCCATCAAGTCTGCACCAGCCCTCTGAAGGGCATCCCACCCAGACCCACTCCATACCTTATCCTGTTACTCCCACCTAGAGTTTTCACCATGGCTAACCCACCTAACCTGCACATCCCTATACACGATGGGACATCTTTAGAATTAGGGCATCTTTTTAGCATCTTTAGACTGTAGGAGGAAACCACAGCACCTGGTGAATGTGCAAACTCCACATAGTCTGTCACAAAAGACTGGAATCGAACTTGGGTGCTTGGCCTGCAAGTAGGTGTCAAGCAACAGGACTCAAACTCAGAAGGCCCCACAGCAATTGCTCTCTGCCCAATCACATCTTCTGAGACCAATGTATTGGCATGTGTGCACTCTACTATCAACACTCAAGTGTGCTTCTCAGCTCTCTATCTGTGCTGAGTAGCAACTGCTGCTCACTGACTCCTTTCTGTGTCCAGCTTGCCCATCAACAGAGCCAGTGAGAGCCATTCACTCCAATCTCCTCTCAATCGCATGATTTTGCACAAAGCATAAGATCACACAGTTGTATCTTCACACTGCACACCAGGTCAAGTAGTCTTATTTTGATTCTCCTCACCCATGTACCTTCACATCCTTTAAGCAAGTCTCAGCCTCATCTCTGGTTCAGCTTTCTGTTCCAAGGCCAGGTGGGATGCAAAATACACAAATTCACTTTGGAAAAAAAATGCACACTGCCTCATAATACCCACAGATTCCATAATCAGAAGATCATCTGAGTACTGCAATACATGATTTATTTTTAATATTAAATGCTGTTTGTGTAATTTTGCTCTGTAGTTTTTAAAGCAAAGATAGAAAGCAAGGAATAATTGGATCCAGGTTTTTATGATTTTATATTTTAAACTGTTTTTGATTGTATGTACACACAACTAAGGTTAGTTACACATCTCTTAGTCCATTGTGGATTGTCAAGAGATGCTATATAAGGAGAAGGGATTCTAACAACAAATGGGATATGTGATCAGAGATTTATATTGACTTACAAAAGTTAACTTCATTTTTATTAAAATATATTCTGGGATTTTTCTGATGTAGGTAACAATTTTATTCCATTAAAACTGAATGAATAGCTTCAGTGGATACACATTCTCTATTTGTGAATTTCTTTTCTATTCCCTGCCATTTTAAAAATTAAAAAATCGCAGCAAAATGTAAGATACATAAGCAGGATGTAGATAACAGGTATTTAATCGTCCTAGGGACAAATAATGGGGTTTAACAAAACTTAGTGAATTGCATTGAAAGTATGCTAATGCCATGTTGGAAATACATCACAACCAAACAGCTTACAGTTGTTGAATAGGAAGGCTAAGATTCAGTGTAAAAGACACAATTGTACAGGCTGTAATTCCCTGATTTGCTGAGCACTGTAAAACACTGGGGACATTTGTGGAGTTTGTTAGAACAGGGAGGGGATTATTTCGTCTATCATCACTATGGAGGAGAATCACATGACTGGTTGAGCTGGGGCCTGGAAGCTACTGCTTTGCTCACAGGTATATTTGTATGTCTGTAAAAATTAAAAAAGGGTCGGGATTGATAGCTCTGAGATGGAAGGACAGAAACTTCCAACCCAAGACCACCAAGAAAATATGTTGAAATACATAAAAAGACAAATGTTAAACATAGACAACAAGGTGCAGGGCTGGATGAACACACAGTTATTCTGAGAAACTTTTTTGTTTGCTCTCATTCTTTGGACATTAGAAGTTTCAGTTACAGAGAAAAAGAAGTCGAAAATTTATTCAAAACCTATTTGGACTAATTCAATTATTTCATTACAGCACAGTGGGGTGGTTGAGAGTGTTTTTATTATCCATTGTTCATATATGATGGACACAATACATACTGTAGTTTATCTACTGCGACATGATGATGAATGGATTTTCCATTATAAAAGCAAAACACAGCAAACATGATTGATGGGTACGGGAAATGCACATCATATGCAAGATCACACACTTACTCGTAACTACATTCCTTTATTCTGATCATTTTTGCAAAGCTTTTACAGGTGCTCAACTCTGAAACCACTGCCAAGAACAATCCACAAGCCTTTTCAGATAGTTGACAATATAGCTTGACTTTCTTCTTCACTCATTCAGTAACTCCCTAAGAGAATGTCTCCCCCTTTGTTTTCAAGCTTCTCATGAAGACATGCCTAAACAAGGAAATGCTCAATGTGCATAATTACTAGCAGGTCTTAATGCTCCTACTCATTGGCACCATATTCTGAAACAAATATCAGACCTGGAACTGGAAATAATTAAATCAGAGCTGTAACTTTACACACAGAATTTGGCCCCAGTATTACAATTGAAATGTTTATGACTTAACAAACAGTGTTGCATTAGACACTAATATAGTGAGGACTTCCCATCAGCAAGCAGCTTGTTCGATTTGCCACCTAGACCAGGCCACACTTACTACTCACTTTCTCTGCAAGAGCCTCCTCTAGCGTAGTCAGGGCAGTATCTGTATTGGTGGTGTCGGCCTGCAGTGATTTTACACGTTCTTTCAGACTGGTCATCTGCTTCTCTTTATCCTTTAGTTGTTCCTGCAGGTTCTCAATCTGAAAAATAAAAACAAAATTTGTTCAGTTTAATGGGAAAAATAGACAAATGAAATAGCGTACCAATTTTCCACAAAACGAAAAATTGTGGTTGCAAGGCAATGAGGATTTGGAAGCAGTGGATTTGGGGTTATATGTAATAAGAACATAATGAGCCAAGTGCCTTCTTTCTGTGTTTTAAATGTTTATAATTCTGGAAACCGTTCAGGATGCAGTACTTTCCAGAAGACTTTTTTACATGGTGTTGATCATTACAAAACCAGTTAATTGTACAAGAAGAGATAGAAGGAACTGCAGATGCTGGAGAATCTGAGATACCAAGGTGTACAGCTGGATGAACACAGCAGGCCACGCAGCATCAGAGGAGCAGGAAGGCTGACGTTTCAGGCCTAGACCGTTCTTCAGAAATGGGGGAGGGGAAGGGGGTTCTGAAATAAATAGGGAGAGAGGGGGAGGCAGATAGAAGATGCATAGAGGAGAAGATAGGTGGAGAGGAGACAGACAGGTCAAAGAGGCGGGGATGGAGCCAGTAAAGGTGAGTGTAGGTGGGGAGTTAGGGAGGAGATAGGTCAGTCCAGGGAGGACGGACAGGTC